CACAGAATTGAACCCAGGAAATGTTCTCAAAAAAGCAACCTGACTTTTGAGATGGTAATGTGCTCGCCATGATTTTCATATAACTCATGCTGCACGTGCTATTCACAGGGACCAGCCCTATAAAATGCACCTGGTTAAATCATTCACACTACAACGTCAGCAGCATGCCACGACTCACGACAGCTCAGAGGAACCAGGCGCTTGGAAGACTTGACGCTGGCCACACTGCCCACGCCGTTGCCTATCAATTCCAGGTCAATGTTCGAACCATCTACAGGCTTCAGCAACGCTTTCTTGCCACCAACACCACGGATGATCGCCCCCGAACTGGTCTACCAAGGGTTACCACAAGGCGACAACACCGCCATGCTGTGCGACAGCACGTGTAGAATCTCTTCACACAGGCATCTGAGACAGCACGTCAGACAGTGGAAACACACGGAAGACCCATCAGTACCGATACAGTGCGCCGACGTCTCACCAGAGAGAACATCCATTGCCGTAGACCTTACCGTTGACCGATCCTCACCCGCGCCATCGACATGAACGTCTACAGTTTGCCCAACAACACCAAAACTGGCGACACAGGCAATGGAGAACTGATCTGTTCAAGGATGAGAGTCGGTATTGCGTATCAACTGCAGGTGGCAGGACCAGAGTATGGCGTCGACGTGGAATCGGCCCGAACCAGCGAGTGGGTCCTGTGGTGTTCCAAAATCCTTGTCCGGGGAGAGGAGGCGGCATCACAGCAGTGTGCTACATCGATCTAGGTCCCAGACCCTACGTCACACCACATTTCGCACGTCATCGAAACAACGTTTTTCAGCAGAACCGTGTCAACGTTATGCACTGACCAGCCCTTAGTCCGGACTGAACATCTTTGGTATGAAATTCAGAGGAGACCTTATAAAGTCGTACCGAGACCAAACACAGCTGATGGATTGCGTCAAGCTTTTCTAAGAGTGTGGTTCCAGGTGCCCATGCCGTTCATCAATCGTCTGGTCCACTCCATGTACAGGCGCTGCGCTGCTGTTATTGACACTCGCGGTGGACACACCAGATACTGATGTATAGACTTTGTACAGACTCTAAACCCTTTCGTAATGTCCTGGAAATGAAATGAAATGGGTTTTAACGTCCTACTGTTCTGCTCCGAACTGGGCTAATGAAGACGGGCATACGCCATACAGTGTGCTATGAGGGAAATTTTGCTCGGACAGCGGCACTATGGTCTATTTTTATATCGAATTCCAACTGTCAAGGGATCTTTACACGGGACCTCGGTTTTTCGTCTCATCCGAACGACTAGACAGCTGTCCTTGTCAGGACCTCCGTCCTGCATCACAAGGGGATTGGACGTTAAGCTGCTAATCTAATGACAGACGGTTGACAGCTCAAACATCAATGAGTTTAATTACTCTATCTTATTGTGTTATTTTATTGTAATGTCTTTTATATTTTAATCATTTTCTTTAATTGTTATTGTTGATTCCTAAGATACCATTTTATTATATACTCTTCAAAAGATGTATGGGATATTCAGAAACAATACAAAACTGCGGAAATACACTGCTGTTTTTATTAGAGGTAACCAGTGTATGTTAATAACAGTCCAATTGCCTACACATGAACATAAACAGTTCATATGGGCGGCTTATCTGACCGCCCCATTTCACTCGCAAAGAGGTACACTGTCAAAGGTGAAAATGGACCTTTTTGATTTTTGTCTTAATAATTTGTAATTGCTCCACCAATCCTCAGACATTCAGCAATTTATCGTGGCATGTTCCTAATCAACCGTCCAATCACGATTTGGGGCAATCTGACCCACTCCTCTTGCAGTGTCACGGCAAGTTCTTGCAGTGTTATCGGTTGACGTTGCCGTCGACGAACACGTCTCCCGATCATGTTCCAGACATGCTCTATAGGGGAAAGATCAGGACTCGTGGCTGGCCAAGGCATATTGACAATATGGTGACGTTGGAGGTAGTCATTCACGACACGAGAGCGGTGGGCACGGGCATTATCATCTTGAAAGATGAAACGTCGACCTGCACGTTGAGCAAAGGGCAGAACTATCGGTGCCAGAAAGTTGATTGGCCGTTTGTCCTCGATTTCGCAGGACCCGTGTACGAATGTATCAATCCTGGACTTGTGTAGTGGCTCTAGGGCGACCTAAACGAGGTCTATCATCAGCATTGTGTGTTTGTTGGTACCGGTTCCACAGTCTGCTTATTACAGACTGTGACACATTAAGCATGTTGGCTACTGCTCGCTGTGTATAGAACCCATTTGAAGCATGTCAATAGCACGTACACGTTCATCATGTTGAAGACGTCTCATTGCAAATTAAACGTAACACACTAAAGCAAAGATGCGCTAAACAGTAAATCTTATGCAAGAACCGATAGGAAAGCAAACATGGATAGGATAAACTAGCACGCGGCAGTTTTCATAAACCCTTCCTTGAAGTGTCAAATTTGACAATGAACCCCTCCCACATGTATGGCGCTATTGCGTGTCGCATGTGAAGCTCAGTGGTTCTGTTGGGGCGATAAGTTCTTCATCTGTGAACATACTCTCAAAGCATGTCAAGTGTCCATGACTATTTATCATATCACAACCTGCATAGGTATTTGCATTTCAATATCCCCTACTTTTTTGAAGAGTATAAATGCCAATTTGTACATCCATAATGTTTCATCCCGTTTCCAGGATAGTTACTCTGCTTTTCGGGCGTGCTTTTCTCCGTATATGATGATTAATGTTTCCCAGTTCTAGTCTTTAGTTATCATCGAAGATTCTCACTGCTACAGATTGGTGGGGTGCATTGTAAGGCAAGATCTCAGAACCTCTTGCAAGCCAGTAAGTTAAAGCTATACAATGTGGAAAATATAGTCATCCCTGATGATCTGACAAAGATTTTGAAAACTATGGTTGATCGAGAAGGTGCTACTTCAGTTGTTTTAACTTGGTCCAGTTTTAATTCACTTTTACTAGAAAATCGACAATTAAGCAAAAAAGAGATTTTATAGAAGGACAACGGTTTAAACAAATGTAATTGATACAAAAACTAATATAGCTATTCAGACAAACGATATAATACCAACAAAATCTAGTTGCCCAAAACGGTCAGATAAAAGTTCCACTGCAGTACCGACCACCTACACTAAATGTACACAGACTGTAGAAGGGGCCACTGATCTAATGGAACCAGGCCCTCCATCCCCACCCCCACAACCTGAAAGACACAAACAACAGTCAAGGTATTAAAAAAGGCGTGTGAAAAATGGTAAACTTGAGTACTTGATTAGATGGCAAAATATGCGGGCAACAAAGAACACTTGGATTTCAGAAGACAAGCTTGACAAAAATGCCCTTTCATACATTGCGACATACCCAAACAAGATTTCGGGCCCAGATCCGTGGTTGGTGGAAAATCGAAACCAGTCTGATATCTATGCATTCCCAAAAGGAGTGTGGACATTACTTGTTACCCGCGAGCAATTATTCCTTAAAGTGATGAATTAAAGTAGCAGTACTTTATTTTATCAATTTATAAAAATCAACATCGTCTGATGTTTGCATGGAATTAAAATCTAATGCATGGAATTTTACCGGTGGGTTCGTTTTGACAAATGTGCGCCCTGATTTACATGAACGAAAAAGTATCCCGATCAAAGTCAAAATCGATAGGGGTCCTACAAAATAAAATTGAAAATAATTCAGGAAGGAATGTAGTCAGCAGAATGAGTCGAAATTCTCATAATGTGAGTGCCGTATCACGTGAAAAAATGTTTGATCGATGACAAAATCGATAGGGATCCTCCTTTTATTAGTTTTGACTTTCAAAATAAAATTGAAAAGAATCCATAAATACTATAATGTGGAGACAAGCAAATTTCGCTACGTTTGGTGTCTTTTCTTGGTGAAAAAGTATCAGATCTTAACCAGAACCGACAGGGATCCTCTTTACCACGGACATATATAATCTGTACAAAATTCTAGGGTGTACATTGCAGACGGTTTATCGTCCCACCCGAACGGTTATACGCTGTCCCTTGCCAGACCCTCCGTCCTGCACTACTGAGAAGAGGGAACCACTCCGATATCCCGATGCACTTTCTCGGTCAATGCAGGAATCGAACACGGGACCTCCAAGTTACCGAGCTAACGTCTTACTTACTGAGCCACCGTAGCTCTATCTGAAATAACCTTTGTTTACAGTAAGTGACGCTGTTAAGAGATAAATAATGAGCATTAAACGCACCACTTGGGAATATTGCAAGCACCGGAGCTTAAACTGTACAAATTCATAATTGCAGATTGAATTCGACAGAATATTATGGCTTGGGTCGACCTTCTGACATTTTAAAAAGTTAAAATCGGGATTGTGTCATTAGAGTGCAATTTACCCACGAGATAAATTTTCTTTAGAAATCTGAAATCCAACTGAAATATTTTAAAAGGAAAACGACTTGTATGCTTTGGGTTGATTTGTTGTCAATATTAATGGACTTCGACAGTGAAATAAATTGTGATATATTGATTATGGCCTGGATAAGTTAATGTCTAATTAATAATTTAGAAAACATTTCAGGCCTAAAGAAAGACCTGCAATAGACAGATTTAGCTCTTGCATAATGTATGTTTAAATAATATACTATGTTGAATTATTTGTGCTGTAAGGGTAAAAAAACTGATAGAAAAAATAAATTGAAGCTAAGGCGTTAGTATATTATGTTGAATTTACACATGTCACGTAATTATTCTGAAATCGATCCACTAGTTTCTGTACTTTGTCATCGGTGGTGTCAAAGTTGTAGTTTCCATATATAAACGCACACTAATTATAAGGCAGCACTAGACATATTATCATGAACCCAAATCTCGGGAGATTTGCGTAGCCAAGAGAGAGAGAGAGAGAAAGAGAATGAGAGCGAGCGAGCGAGCGAGCGAGAGTATCCGCGATGGCAGCGTGCACTGTTATCAATATTGTCTTTAGAAAGGTTATAGGTAAGAGGCGCACGTGATCGATGTCGCTAATGAGTAGAGCTTTGGGTCGAGGACGAGCTATATATAATATTTGTTATTGAAGAGGAAACCGTCATTTATTGTAGTCAGAGTTGGCAATAAATCTTGGCATTGTTTATTTACAACTAAGTCCACATATGATATATCTAACACTGTGTAACGATGGCCAACCATAAGGTAAGATTATTCATTTTGTTTTCAAAAACTTTACTATTTTTAGAAATATTGATGTATTTTGCCCGACAGAAAGAAAGTATTTAATAACTCATAGGATTAGTAACTTTCTTTTAAATATTCAATCTGTAGACTTTAGTTCTTATATTGTCATCTTATTTCCGTGTCATTGATTGCGGTAATCAATACAGTTTGAACGCGTTTAGAAATCCTTATGAAAGTTAATCACCATCTAATTAAGTTTTAACATTCTCGAGGATATTTTTTTTATCCCCTTTTCTGCAACTAACCCAACGACGGGCTAATTCGAAATTAATTAGAGGTATTTATGGAATAGATAACTTCATCACATAATTATCTTTTGACAGTTTTGTTCTGTTTTGCAAATGTTTTCTTATGATAAGGAAATAGAGATTTGAATGAATCTATCAGAAACCCTAAACGGCACAGGAAAGTTATCACAAGTTATTGAATTTTTGTGAAGCACGAGGTGCTGGTGCTAGTTCAAATGGAAGAACTTGGAATTCGTAAATTCGCAATTGCCAGGGGAAACGTAACATTTTCCCTTGACTCTCCAAAATTTTAAGAATGAAGAAAGTCAGATTCAACATTTTCATGAAATTGCCTTCTATAACAATAGATTACGATTCTAAATATCGTCCATGTTGAAGTGCAGATATTCTATGCAACCGTTCAATTTGATAGAATTTTCTACGGATAATACATATTGATAATTAAAGCTTTATACGGAGCTTGTATGGCGCATAAAAAGAAATCAGTCCAGGTATACATGCTTAGAAATTTATCTTCGACTTCGACACATCACCAACTTTGATGTTAGTACGACAAACCGGCAGCTGATATTGGAACCACATGAAACTTTTGAAATGAACTAATCCATGAACTAATTGTGCTTATAGGGTTTCCATATAATTGAAAGTAAAACTAAATCTTCCGAATGTTTGCCCATAGCATATTCTACGATCAATACGTATTACCGGTGTAAGCAACTGGGTGGAGTACTATTATTGCGTTCAACTGCGTATTAAGTACCAGCTGCGGTCTCTGAAAAAGATGACGCGATAAGGAATACTTAAGACAAAAAAAGATTGCTCGATCGGCCAATAATACTGAATTATATAACCCATCACTTAGGTTATTGCCTTTAATTGAAAGAAATTGAATCCCACGGCATTGTCAATGTGGGTTAGTAAAACCGAAAGAACACTGATTCGTCTTGGCAGAGATCTAATGTAAGATGGCTGTTCAATGTATCTCCAAACATGATTTATTGTCGTTGCTGTTTTAAAATCACGACTATTGCTCTTCAGTTTTATTGGGTACATACATTGTTCAAAGAGAAACATAAAGCCCGTTTTCCAGGCGTTTCCGCGGGTTAAATGGAAACAGTCCCATTACATTTGCATTAGACCGAGCTTTTCGCCGGAGGAAACGCCCCGAAAACGCGTACATGGAAAACGGGCCTACTATCTTCATTTTATTAAAAAATAAGTAGGCCGTGTAAACTTATCGTAAGAGAAGTCCGTATTCTTAAACAGTGAGCATATTCTATTTTCTGAAGGGAGCCGCGGTGGTACAGCGAGTAAGACGTTGGCCTGCTAAGGGACAACGTATAGTTGTTCGGATGGGACGAAAACCCTAGATCTTTCGAATAAACAGAACTGGAACCAGATAGTATGAGATACGTTTGGAGAAATGGTACTGAAACCTGATAGTATAGCTATAAGGTATTTCTGAATAAACGGTATTGGAGCAACATGACTATGCTTAAAATGACCTCATTGTTTTACATGTTACAAATCTTGGAGGATTAGGGTCATTGCACATTTTACTAAATGAATACAACCCGAAACACCCCCCCCCCCCCCAAAAAAAAAAAAAAAAAAATTAAATGGACCATGTTTCCGAAACAGCTACTATGCACAGTCTTTTTTATCATCATTTTCTGAATTCTGGAACTAAACTGACAGATTTTGCTTTTATTTCTAACTAGATGTAACCAGAAGAAAACATCTAGTATCTAATTAGTTTATTATGGATCTACAGTGACAATAATCTCTGGAAAATACAAATATATCATTTAAATAAAAATGTTTTAAAACAGATTATACTCGATACAATCTATGCACAACTCATCCTTCATCTACATACATTATACATACCCATGAATCTCAAATCTTTAGTAGAAAAATTGTTGAAGAATTGTATACTAGTGGACTAATTACCGTTCTCCGTACTATTGTATATAATAGTATGTTCAATGCAAACTGCGATATTTTAGTATAACGAACGTATTTACTGGCAATAAAATGTACCTGATATTCTTCATTAAATTCATGTCTCTTACAATGGCAAATCGTAAACGTCCGCTGATGTATTTGAGCAATTCTGGAGAAAAAAAAGCATTCAATTTAAACCCATGAGCGATTTATATCTAGTTTCCAGAATATCAAATAGTAATTGGAACTTGAAAACACACACATTCACAAGCATTGTCATGACTACAATCTTCAATTTATTTCTCATTTGGTGTTAACGAGATCAAATGTATTGCTCCTGTTCTTTTATTTTATTAGCTAATATTATAAGTGCGTAAGACACGTTGGCCTCTGTGAGCCAATCTGGCATAGTGAGTATGAAGGTGGACTCTGGCCAGGGGGTCCCGGGTTCGATTCCGGTGATGGTCAAGAAAGTTCAAGTCTAGTTTTTCTTTGTCAGCGGTGCAGGATTGAAGATCCTTTGTCCATGTTGACGTGCACGTTAAAGAACACTCGGCAGTTCGGTTTAGATAACACTGCTATAATCCTCCCATAATTGTTATCAACGTGGAGGGTGCTTATCATCCGGTCATATTGTATAAAAGTAAGATATCTAATCTGTTCAAGACAGTAATTCCACCGTGTTACGAAATCTTGTTCAATCTTTCACAAAACGGTTTTAATCTTGTATGACTTGTCGAACTTGATTGATATTTCGAAATATATCCCACTTCCCACCATGTTGGTTTTATTGGGGATATAGTTTGATTTGACTACTGATTAAATATGCCTTCTGATGTTTAGGCTGTTTTTGATGGGAGTTTTCATAATTACGCCCTTTATAGGCCAAAATAATTACCGGATATTTGAATATAAAATCGAGTCTAACTTGATCTTCGTGTTAGAAAATATTATTTAGTATTTAGATGTTATAATATGCACATTATTATATGACAATATTTAAAAGATCAAAGCAGATTGGTAACATATGTTTTATTTTTAGACAGTTTTAATTCGTTTACTGGATGGTAATTGTCCGAGCATTTTGGGGGAAACAGATTCCTGGAGTGAAAGAATATGGTTCTTGATATCTCGCCACTCTTTATATTAATCATCATTACAGTGACATCGCAACCATAGGTCATCTCATTTGTAGTTTTCTCTATCCTTAGGTAGATCATTTTCTTTCTATTCTGAGAGTAAAACCCAAGTGGCCTTTCTCCGACATAACAAGGAGCAAATCAAAAATCGATGCGACCTGGAGATTCATTATTTCGCATAACAAATTTTGCGTTCAGTTTCTTTGTAAGTATTCTTTTTGGTTAAGAAAAATAATAAAAAATATTTTATCCCGGGTAATGGCTAGACACTTAGGGTAGTGATTGCCAAAACAATAAAAATCTTAACTTCTCGTTGTTTACACAATGTATGACGTAAACAACGTCATTGACATTTCTTGTAAGTATTCTATGACGACAGCGCTATATCAAAGAATGGTTAAATAGATTAATTCGGTTGTTTGATCTTCTAAACTTAATTATTACCGACTCTCTTCTTTTTAACACGACAAGAAATTAAACGTCTTAGCCAAAGTTGTTAGTTCACAAATCTCATACTTGGTTTACACGCGTTAAGCTTTACACTGTTAAATCAAGTGTTAGAATTAAAGTCATAATTTCTGGTTGTTCTTGGAATCGAGTATTATCTTCAAATCAATGCTGGGTGCGTTTCCGGTTTGTTCACGAAGGAATTCGAAACTTTTTGGACATTCATGCGAGACGTTTATTGTTACCAAGGTAGGATTGAAGAGGGTATATTACAGACCATTTTACTAACTCTTAAAGTTCAGTTGTAGTCATTTTAAATGTTATAATCTATACACTGTTAAAATTATTATCTATTTTTACCATTTTTAAGCCGACAGAAATGTTACCATCATTATAACTGTACTTTAACATTTCCTCTAGCTATTATACATTCAAGGCAAATTTACCTGTCTGTACATGGAGTATATGTGAAATTACCATAAGTCAATTTACATAAATTGGTAAAATAACATTGTAAAAAAAACCCCATGCTGTGTAATTTGAGAGAGTTTATGTAATTATACCTCATTACAAATGGCAATATTTCTGCAAGTAATTTTACCATTCAAGTGTAGGTTTACAATATTATGTAATTTGCCGAGGTAAAATTACTGAAGTGAATGTGTATGTCCCCACTTGACTAAGTAGTCCCATGTTCGATCCAGTCGAACACAGAAAGATTTGGGGACCTTTCAGTCGAGCATATAGAACAACATTGAGAAAATGGAAAGAGTAGGTGGAATGACACTGTCCAAGCCAAATTTCCCCCACAACACAATATCGCATAACCCCTTCTTCATTAGCCAGTTCGGTGCATTCAGATTTTCAATAACATATTTCTCTAAAATAGACTAAACTGACTGACCGAACACTAATTCGACGTGAGGTCAAATCTAGTGGATAACGGATGTGGCCACTATTTGACAGTAAATTTACAATTTGCTGTAAAAATAATATTCCAAATGGTATTTCTGTTAATTTTCAGCTCATATTTTGTAAACTTGACACATGGCACGGTTGTATTTGTACATTACGTTTGATGTAATCTGAACCATACCGATCATTAATCGTATTATCATAAATACACCACGTCAAACACAAATTTGTAAATACCAACGATCTTAATTCATGATTCGCG